TAGGCTCGACTCGAGCTTGGGTTCGGCTCAAAATCTTAACGAGCCAAGGCTTGGCTCGGCTCGAAAGCTCGTGAGTAAGCTCGTATTTTTTTGTACATATAATATTTATTTTTTTGTAATAAATTAATTATTAAATTAGCATAAACTTTTCTTCATATTTAAGGCTTAGGGACTAAAGTTAATCTTCACAACTCTAGTGTTCTCGCTAAGTTTTGTTGCTTTCGTTGATGATTTTTGTTGTTGTTTATATAGAAGAATTTAAAAAATAAAAAAAAAAAAAATAATCCCACATTGAAAGATTGAAGCATGGAATAGAAAATAAATGAGAGTTATACAAGAAAATTTTGATTGTCTTGGTAACAATGACTACGGGAGACTAAATACTAAAGTCCCTAAGCCTCGAATCCAACCGAGCCAAGTCGAGTCGAGTCGAGCTTGAGCTCACGAGCTTCTAGCTTCGAGCTCGAGCCGAGCCTCAGCTCACGAACTTCGAGCTCGAGTAGAGCCTGAGCTCATGAGCTTTGAGCTCTAATCGACTTGTTAACACCCCTAATCTTAGAATAGACTCAATACACAATAACTAATTATGCACCCAATCATCTTTTTTCAAAATTTCACCTTTTAGATTCATTTGCAAACTATCTTTTCAAACTACTTTCTTCCTCCATTACTATGACCTGAAAAGTGATTATATCACGCGAAGGTAATTATATCACCCAAAATTGAAAGGTAATTATATCATTCGAAGAGTATTACATCATTCGAAAACTGATTATATCATTCAACAAGTAATAGTGATTATATCGTCTAGAAGGTGACTATATTATTTGAAATGTAATTATATCATTCATAAAATAAATGTATTATTTGAAAGCTAATGTAATTATATCATCCAAAAGATAATTATACAATCTAAAATGTGATAATAGATATCATCTGACTAAATTATTATATTTAAAATATGACTATATCATTAGGAATGAAGTAGCGTATGAAGGTTATAGTGGGTGAAGTGTGGTGACGTGCGACTCACAACAATAACAAGATTAACAACAAGGTGATCGACGACCAGCGAGTGACGAAGGTAGAACATCTGAGCAGCGAGGAGGAAAAGGTGTCATTGCCACTGGTAATCAAGGTAGAGGTTACAGGATTAACCGGTAACTGGATGCGCCGGAGGAGATTGGCTGTGAAGGAGATTAGAAAGTTTCAGAAGCAATGAAGGAAGTGAGTCATAAGTTGAAAGAGAGAGAAGGAAGCAGCAACAGTGGTGGTGGTGGTGCCGTGAAAGAATAGGTAGGAGAAAAATTGTTGGGTCTACAATTAATTTAGTGTGGACTGGGTCCATACCAGATTAACTTCACTACTTTATTTCATCACATAATCAATCAATAAATATTATTAAAACTTATGGCAAGGTATGCTATTTTGCCCCGTATCACTAATTTGGCCATTTGACATATGATGTGACGCACGTCATACCAGTCCATTAATGATTGAAAAACTTCATGCATTAACCGTCATGTATTAATGTTTAATTTAGCTTAATTGAAAAACTCTTCATATGCATAACATCAGAGTAAAATTTCCCTTGGAATGTAACTCCTTAATAATTGCACAATGATAAAATTTGTAAGAAATTCAACATTACTCCATTTTTTTTTATTTTTTTTGGTGCATTAATTCATCAAATTATAATTATAGAGTAAAAGATTTGGTATATATATATATATATATATATATATATATATATATATATATATATATATATATATATATATATATATATATATATATATATAGGGTCGGGATCCAGTGAGAACCACCCTTTATGTGATAACACTATTATATATGAGAACTCATCACAACCATTGGATACTATAAGATCCAACTACTGAGATTGTTCGACTAGTAATGGTAATAATGTAATTTTAAAAACAAAAACATCAACTCCAATTACGTATAATTTGTATACTCCTCTTTCTCTCTCTACAAAACTTGAAGGTGGGATTTCAATGGAGACAACTGACGATCGACAATTTCTCTCTCCACTTGTTCACTATTGCATAATTTCAATTGGTACTTTTCAGATTTTTCTTAATTTAAATTTAATTTTGATAATTTCAATTGAATTCCAAACCTTCTTTTTCTGATTTTTGTAATTTTGATGATTTCAAATCATCTCGTTCGAATTTTGATGAATTCAAATTAGTTTGTTCGAATTTTGATAAATTCGAATAATCTTGTTCGAATTTCTCTAAATTTGATTTTAATTTGTCCCAAAATAGTATTATCGTCGTAATTTACAAATTTGATTTTCTAATTTTCGATTTTTGTATAATGAAATTTCATGAATATGATAGCTCTTAATTTTGGTTATTCGAATTTAACATTCTTTTACTAGTTTTTTGAGTTTAGTGTTTCCAATTTAGGATTTTCGTATTACATAATCATTTTACTTAGTTGATTAATTTTTGTTTTGAATTCTGTAATTGTGTTGCAATTAAAACTTGGTTTTAAATGGGTTATTGGTGCATTTTTATGATACTTATGAATATCCTGATAGTGCATACAACGTGTTTGATAAAATGCTTGTTAGAAATCTTGTGACTTGGTACTCTATTATCAATGAGTTTGTTTAGAATGAGTTCGTAGGTAATACTTCGGATACTTTTGATGCGGAAAATGAACTTTGGGAATGACATGTACATTATGCAACCGTGGCAAACTTAATGGTGTTGTGTTCTTGTGTCTGTCGGTTCATTATATAAAGATGTTTGTGTAGGATAAATGAGTTGTAAGATTTTATTATCAAAATTTTGGAAACTCGGGGAGAAAGGTTTGTGAATGTGTGAATGAAGTACTGCTCAGTGAATTGGGAGCTTCTGTGTCTTAATAATGGTGTTGTTTGCTTGTGTGTATTTCATTTGTCTGATACTCCTATTTTCTTATGTCTTTCTTTATTAGTATCACTTAAGCTCCTTTGGTTTTTTCTTGTATAGGACACAAAAATTGGGTACTCTGCATAGCATGGTCCCCTGATGGTAAATATCTAGTTAGTGGTAGCAAGGCAGGAAAGCGCCAGTGTTGGAATCCATCCTCAGACAAGAAAGCCATCAGGAAGCCCACTTATGGTAAATCTTTTGTGCAAATGAAATATATCATATAAAAAATATTTAAGTTGCTAACTTTCTGCATTTTGTTTAACTTCTATAGAGGAGTCCAATGCATATTGTCAACTCATGGTTGACAAACTATGAGCTTTAAGCAGAATTAAGGTTATAAAGGTCTATAATTCATATTATATGCTATCATGGTTTTGTTTTGCACTATTTCTTTCTAGTGTATGGTTTAGGATTAAATGTTTGGTCTCTTCTAATCTATAAGTCTGAGGAGAGAAATATTACAAGATTTTCTAAAAGAGATAATGCATAATATTTGTCTTATTTGGCTTGTGTATGATGTCAAATGAGCAAATTATTCTTTGCTCATTTTGTCAAATGAGCAAATAATTCTTGCTCATTTGTTGTCAAATGAGCAAGCAATTATTTGCTCATTTATCAAATGAGCACATAATTCTTTGCTCATTTGTCAGACGAGCAAACAAATCTTTGCTCATTTATCAAATGAGCAACAATTCTTTGTTCATTTTATCAAATGAGCAAACAATTCTTTGTTGATTTATCAAATGAAATAATAAAAAATTTATAACATAGAAAATGATTTAAAACATATGATAAAACCTATTAGCTCAATTGGTAGAGCACTATGCAAATGCATATGGGATGTAGGTTCAATTCCTACATAGGTTATCTCTATAAACAAAATTAATTAAAAAAAAAAATCAAATTCGTACTAAATTATATGAGCAAAAAACTGGTTTGAAATGATTTATAACTATATATACTTTTTTACAATTAAACTCTCATACAAACTTGTGTCTCCACTTTACATAAATGAACCTACGTGGGATTCGAACCCACATTTTTCGTGCATGTGCACAATGCTCTACCCTTGAGCTAGTAGGCTAACGTATTTAAAACATTCAAACACACTCACAAATGAGCATTAATTTGACAAAATGAGCAAAAATCATTTGCAAATTTGACAAATAAGCATTAAATAGTTTGCTCATTTGACAAAGGAGCATTGAATTTTTTTGCTCATTTGACAAATGAGCAAAAAATAATTGCTCATTTGACAAATGAGCAAAAATTAATTGCTCATGGTTTAATGATCAACCATTAAAATCAATAAAGTCTGGAGATCAGCTGCATGCCTGAGAACCTGAACCTCTGCCAAAAGGATAAAAGCGCTTTCCATCAGCATCAAAGTGACACATATTCTCCACAACAGCAACGCGGACATATCATGCAATGAGTCACTAAACACTAAAGTTATTTGCAAAAAGTTCAATTATTTTTCCTATCACAGGTAGTAAACAGAAAAGCAGAAGCTAAATAAGTGAACAATTGGTTTCTGCACTGAAGATCAAACCTTGAGCTTTAAGAACATGCGAACTCCTTTAGCAACAGCAATAAATGATAGCTTTTGAGGAGTTGTAACGATAACTGCTGCTGTTAATGGAACAACTTGACAAAAAAATTCTACAGAATTCAGCAATTGCAAGAGAAAAGAACTATATTTCCATTTTTTTCTCCACTTTTTCCTTTAAACCTAGAATAAGAAAAGGCAACAAGAACCTGACACAAAGTTAGCTGAATGTCACCAGTCCCCGGTGGCATGTCAATCACAAGGTAGTCAAGTTCCCCCCCTACAAAATATGAAACTTGTCATATACTTAATTTTACAACTAACAATAGTAAAGAGCCATTGTCTATAATGTAGTTCAGCAAATTAGATAGATACTTATGGGAAGACTATACGATTCAGTTGTTGCAAGCAGCTGGTTAATTGTCAGCAACATATTTAGATACTTATGGGAAAACTATACCATTCAATTGTAGTAAGCAGTTGATTGATAACTTCGAAAACCATTGGGCCCCGCATAATTGCACGACCTTGCCCAGCAAATCCAAATGATACCAGTTTGACACCCAAGTATTCAGTTGGGATGATGGTTTTCGTCTCTGCAATCTGGACAATTAAATAACAAAAAAAGCAATTCAAATAAGACAGCTAAAAATGAGTTTAAAGGCATTGCTATCACCATTTCTAGTAGCCTGCTCTCTGGTGAAACCATTGTTGGCAAACTGGGACCATAGACATCAGCATCGAAAATACCAACTCTAGCACCCATACCAACAAGAGTATAAGCTAGATTAACAGCAACAATCGATTTCCCTACACCTCCTTGTATATTGCAAGAAAAGTGAACGATGTTAAATAAATTACATCCCAGGAAATAAACCAAATTTTGATATAATAGTAGCCATCATAATTTGTTGAACAAAATGTGTTTCACAGCAACCCAAAATGATAGTCAAGATAGCTGTTAAACAATATATAACAGTATAAATTGATGCTGAAAATGTCACAACACCTAGAAGCTAGAAGCCGAGACTCAATACAATCTTGGGGAAGATTAAATAAGAAGATCATCAATTAAATATGTACTACATTTGAAATTGATAAAATAATAGGATTCATTGGGGAATATTGTCAAACACTTAGTGTGCATCAAAATTTAAGACCAAATTAGTGAAATGCAAGTACCAAAATTGACAAAATCAATCTCTATAACCATTCATAACCTCAGAAATTATAAATAAAAGTTTGAATTACACTATAAAGAACCCTAAATTAACAAATGAAGCAAAATTAAAACAAAAATCAACTAATAAGTACTCAAATAGAAATCGAATAGAAATCGCCAGGGAAAAAATCGAACGGATATTCAACCGAAAATCGCCAAAAATCGCAAAAAAATTGACAAAAACCTTAAGTAATCAAACTAAAATCAAACTTTAATCCACGAAAATCAAACTTTAATCAACGAAAATCAAACTAAAATCAGCGAAAATCAAACTAAAATCAATGAAAATTACCTTGACAAAGAATCAATGAAGTTAGAAGCAAAATTGATGAAGAATCTAAGCAAAGGAAGAGAGCAGTAAGAAGGGAGCACAGAAATTGAAGGAGGAGAGAGAAAAATGGCGCGTCGAATGAAGGAGGAGAGAGAAAACGCGGGAAAATTGTGTTTGAAATTACATTTGATTGGGATAAATTGTAGCCATTGGATGCAATTGATCCAACGGTTGTAATATGTCCTCACATATAATAGGTTCCCACATAAGGGGGGTGGTCTTATATGATCCTATATATATATATGTGTGTGTGTGTGTATGACCAGGTTATAACGAGAACCAATCCTATAATAGGAACTAGGAACTAATCAGAACCGTTGGATTTAATGATGGGCACGCGCTAGATCGACGGCTGGTAGCACTGTCAAACGGTTTGACAGTTCGGGTTTGGTTCGGTTTGAAATCGGTTCGGTATTAAATCGGGTCGGTATTAAATCGGTTTAAGTGTCTCGCGGGTCGGTTTTAGTTCGGTTTAAATATTTATCGGTTCGATTCGGTTTCGGTTTAATCTTGATCGGTTTTAATTCGGTTCGGGTTGTAAACAGTCCGGGTAGTAAACGGTTCGATGCAAACGGGTTGCGGTTTGTTAATGGTTTGGTGTAAACAGTTTTTATCCCGGTTCAAACAGTTTCGGGTTGGAAGCGGTTTCGGGTTGGAAACAGTTCGGTTCTTTTTTGGTTCGGTTTATAACTGGTTCGGTTTTTTTCGGTTCAGTTTATAATTGATCCGGTTCTTTTTTGGTTCAATTTATAACTAGTTCGGTTCTTCTGCGGTTTAACGTTATTCGGATCGGTTCCATTCCGAGTTTACTAAATTACGATTCGGGTCGGTTTTCGGTTTCAAAAAATCAATTGTTTATCGAGTCGTTTGGATTTGGGCAGTTAAATGGTTTTGGTTTGAAATTTGATAGTATTTGCTGGTTAACAAGTTTTATATAAAGTAAAGACTTCATCATTTCATATTTAGGCATCATATTATAAACAAATTCACATTGATTTTATAAATATATATCATGTTCTGTTTTAAGTTTAGTCATATTGATTTTACTAGTGTATTACGAAGTAGATTATAAAAGTAGTGAATTAATGTATTATTGTTTTACAACTAGGTTGTTATATGTTTCTTATTTAATCATTTAAATACTAGTGTCAAAGTCATGATTTGATGAGTTCTTATTAAATGGAAATTTGCAATTTGGTAATTCGATACTTGATTAATCAACAAGACTGATAATTATGGCTCGTTTATCTTTATATATTTTCATGAAATTATGAAGATATTACAAAGTAGTTTGATTTGTGTAATGAAAGAAAACATTAATAATTTATTAACAAGGTAATATTGATTAGTTCAATCGATCGTATGTACACATTAACGCATAGCATCTAACCATCTCATAGTTAAATACTTCGTATGTATTAGTACAAAGTTATAAATTAGTGAACATTATTTTGATTGGATCAATAACTTGAGCTGTTGTTTTAAATTAAATTAGGATCATTGTTCGTGTAGTTTAAGTATAATGATCTACACCATCTCTAACTATTATTTTAATACTCCATCCGTCCCTTTATTTTGTCCCTTTGTCATTTTTGGGGTCAAACTTTGAAAATATTGACCATAAATTACCACTAATCTATAAAACAGTAAAACTTAATTTTGTCACGAGACTCATGAGTCATGACTCATGACTTCATGAGTGATCTTTTTAAATTTGTATCATTATATATTTTATTAATATAACGTTTTTATAATTTTTACTTGTATGAAAATAAAGATATACTACGTAGATGTTTTAATACGCGTCTTGGAGACTGATCCCGATCAAATGAATACACAACACACAAAACATCATCTAATTAGTCTCAACCATAGATCAAAAACAATCTACGGTTAATTTTTTTCTTCCACAACACACACGGATCACCACTCTCAACCATAGATTAAAAACAATCTACGGTTAGCTTTTTTTCCCCACAACACACACGGAAAACCATTCTCAACCATAGATTAAAAAATCAATGGTTAGATTTACATCTCAACCATTTTGATACCCTAATTCCACTTTCACTTTCACGCCTCCTAGTTCTTTCTCTCTCTCATCTCCTCTCAGATCTCACTCATTCATTCACGGCGCCTCTTCGTTTGTCGTCTCTCTCATTCATTTTCAATTCTCCCTAATTCATTCACGGCGCCTTTCGTTCGTTGTTGCTGCTCATCGGTGTTGTTGCTGCTCTAATCCTCGCTTATCAGTGTTGTTGCTGCTCTAAACCTCTCTTTTTTTGTCCAGGTATGATATCTCTCTTCCTCGTACTTCTTGCAACTGATTTAATCTGATTTATGAAGTAGAAGAATTAAAGTTGTAGTTGATTTAATGAGTATATAATTGTATAATTGTAATTTAGTGGTTTACTGTATAACTCTGATTAGTGGTCTATCTTAAGTTAGTTAGTATTTGACGGTTGTATTTCTTGACTGCTTTGCATTATTGTTTGCATATCAATCAAAATGAATCAAGATTAAAGAATTGAACAGGAAAGAGTGAAAGACCAATAATCAAATTTGACATTAAAATTTAGGTTTTCTAAGCTACCACACTATATAACATAGTTGTCCACTACGTTTTGCATTATTATAGTTATAATTCCCCTTAATGAGTATATAATTGTATAATTGTAAGTTAGTGGTAATAGTATATAATATGGGTTCATCTTATTTAATTTTCTAGTAGTTAAAAATTAATGGGTTGCTACTGAAATTTGATTATATGAGTTTATTAGCGTTTATAGAAAAATAATATGGGATTAATGACTTTTCACTCTCTATTCTATTTGTTGGTTTCACTATTAAGTGTACATCTCAATGTAATGGGTTTTCGACTCTTAACTAGAGTGTAAAAAGTACCTAAATGTGTTAGCATTGATAGGGACAATTATTTGTTATAAGGCTGAAATGTGTTGTTTTGATCCTGTTTTTTCAGCAATGGATCAAGGGTATGGAAATTATGATGAGGACAGACAAGATTATTTAGAAACTTCAGATTCTCAAAACACTATTCAGAATCAAGATTCTTCTCAGCAACAAGTCACTACCACTAGTGGTAGTAAGCGTGGACGAACATCAGATGTGTGGAGGCATTACACCTTTTTTGATAAGATTGTTGGTCTTGCTCCGATAAGATATGCGCGATGCAATGTTTGCGGTAATGAATATAAAGCACCAGGTAAGGCTGGTACTTCCACTTGTAAAGCTCATACTAAGGCATGCATGGGTAAAAATATACATCATCCTGCAAATCTTGAAAGTGTTGTTGATCCTACGTTTAATCAAACTCGTCATTTACAATTGCTTGCTAGAGCTATAATTTTGCATTCCTATCCTTTAAATATTGTGGAGCATCATGGCCTTAGGGAAGTTTTTACGAATCTGAATCCTAATGTGAAGCATGTGTGTAGAAACACTATGTTGAAATATTGTATTGCTGAGCATGATAAGTTTAAGTCCTTGTTGTTGCAATCTTTTTCTGGAATTGAAGGTAGAGTTAGCTTCACTTGTGACTTGTGGACAGCATGCACTAATCGAGGTTATCTCACTTTAACTGCACATTATGTTGATAAAAATTGGTGTCTAAGGTCTAAAATTCTGAATTTTAGATATTGTGGTCCTCCTCATACTAGTGTTGAGATAGAAAAATTTGTGTTTAAACTTATTGGGGAGTGGAACCTTCAGGGTAAAGCTTTTGCAATTACTGTTGATAATGCTCGATCTATGGATGTTATGGTTAAACTTTTGAAGAAAGATTTAATGTTGACTTCTCCTCTTCCTTGTAATGGTAAATTTTTTCATATTCGATGTTCAACTCATGTCTTGAACATTATTGTTCAAAGAGGTTTGAAAGAAGTTGATAGTAGTGTTCAAAAATTGCGTGAGGTTTGTAAATATATTGATTCTTCGGACTCTAGACTTACTCAATTTGAGCATGCTCTTTCTGAGGTTAACTGTCTATTTAACGGTAAGTTACGTCTTGATGTTGTGACTCGTTGGAATGCCACCTATACGATGCTCCGAAAAGCTTTAGAAGCAAAGGAAGCCTTGAAAGTGGTTATCGATAAGTATATGGGTTATGAATTCAAACTTTCGGATGATGAATGGGATACCCTTGCAAAAATATGTCATTTCCTAAAGCCATTTTATGAAATCACTATGTTATTTTCTGGTTCTGAATATCCTACCGCAAATTTGTATTTTGCTA